AAAAAAAAAACAATTCCGGTACACGATAATGTATGCGTACGTGACAATCTGAAACAAAATAATAAAGTTGTGTCACACTATTCGATAACATACAAAAGGATTGGATAATATCTGTTAATGTATCATTTTAGGATTACAAATCTTTCTTAGTCTTCTTTTCACACTTCTCAGTATCCTACGTGCAAACATTATTGACAAAAGCACGTATAACTTTTCAAGCGCTTTTTTCCATAAATATGTTTTTACCTTTCTCTTCACTATTACAAACATTCTGTAAATAAAAATCTTCAAAGCTTTTCATTTTATTTAGAGATTGTCATTGAAGCGCATTTGGTAGATGTCCTGTAAAAAGCTTTTCATTTTATTTAGAGATTGTCATTGAAGCGCATTTGGTAGATGTCCTGTAAAAGATTCATCAAAGATGTTGAAGGATATTTTTGGATAATAATATGTAGCACATTCGTCATCAGCAGGTATGGGACGGAACTAGTGACACACAGACACACACATACACACACACTTGCCAGCGTGTAAAGTTTTTGGGGCTGTTCCATTTTTCCTTAGAGAGTAAATTGTGACGGAAAGCTAAAGCTTGCAATAGCATGCATGCATTACATGACAAACATATACATGCATCTATGCACATACATACATACACACACGCATATGCGTGACATACATAAATAGACATATATACATACACACACACATACATGCACATACACAGACAAACACGTGATGACGCGTCAAACCTTTTTGCGGGCAGCGTTTCGCATATCGATTTTTGTTCCATATCATTGGCGATGTGTGCTTGCGGTGCGTTCATAAATTATCGATGAAACTCGAACTCTGTATGTGTTTGTCTGTCTGTCTGTCTATCCGTCTGTCGTGTATGTAGTGCTTATGTATGCACCTGTCTGTCTCCATGTCTGTATGTATGTATATGTACGTGTGTATGTATGTATGTGTGTATGTGTGTATGTGTATGCACTCATTAAATTTATTTTATTTTTCAGGACTTTTCATCGGTGTTTGTGCGTTTTGTCCGAAAGCGTATTAAGATTGCCTCATTTTCAATGACATAAATCCGTCTGTTCCGTTTATTGATCCAGCCGGTTATCAGAACTGTATCTACTTTTTTTTTTTTCCTTTAAAACAAAAATTTGTTGCGAAATATTGTAGTAGCAATTATAATTTGTATTAGTTTTGTATTGTTATTGATTGGATCGATTATTGTGGAAAATTTCATGTTTAGGCAATTATCAACAAATATAACTATAATGTAGTGTGATGTGTAGTTTTTTTTTTAGTATTATAGAAATCTTTTTTCCTTTTTGGGTAGAATATGTGGTTTAAATCATTTTGATGATAATTTAAACCGCAGTGATTTGGTTTCATAATTTTCTTGTTTCTCCTCATCGTTGGTCGGTTATGCAAACTGTACTTTTTTTCCCTTTTTATATAACTCATATGTTCTTTTTTCGTCTTTTTTCTTCCCTGTTGTTTAAACTGCAGGCAAATGTTTGTGGTAATATAACTGTCACAGTGTTGTGGATGCTTTTTTTCTTCTCATTTTTGATTTGATTTTTGTTAAAATCGTCGGTATTCCTAGGATTTTTTTGAGATATTTCAAATGTCATCACATAACATTCCGAGAAATTTTTTTCTCGGAAATTGAAGAAAAAGAAATTTTGGTACAGCTGGCGTTGTGCTGTTTAGCGGTTAGCCCAAATAACTGTCGTGATGGAAGTCTCTCGTAAATCAATATTTCATTAAACTATTCTAGCTGGTGATGCACAAAACGATCCACTGACACATCCGGAATTATGGCAACGAAATCAGAACATCGATCAACAACGGAAAGTACCTCAAAAGGGGTTAATGGTGCAGTTGATGTGCATACTTTGGAAGTGGAAACATTCAACGGTTTTGAAGAGGTTTGTAATTAATTGATGTGAAATGTTTACGACGAATTAATTCACAGTTTCTTCAAAAATAATTTTTTGAATTGATTTTGACAGGATAGTACTAAAATTTGACTTCGAGGCACTTTCGTGGGAAGAGTTGGAATTCCTGGATTGTATTTGAAGTCAATAAAAGAATGCAGTTTAAACCACAAGAAGTCAAAGATCAAAGTAAAGCTACTTTACAGTCGTTGCCCATAAACAGCTGTAATAGATGCACTCAAGTTACCGAAATAAAACGAAGTTTCCTATGCAGTTAGATTACGAAATTCATGTTATATGGCAGTAGAAGTTATAAATTTGTATTCTGAAATGGATTTTCAAACAATTCAAAAACCTTCAAATTCTGGTTACTTTTCAAAACAAAACTTCTTTATTTTTTCGGTGCAAGCTTTGTTCGTTAAGGAATTTTTTTCGTAAGTTCGTTTCATATTTCCGAAAATTTCGAAAATTCATTCAGAGCGGTGGGTCCAAAGTTTTTGATGCATTCGGCAAGTTTTGCTGTTCACCCGTCTATTGAAGCCTATTTTACTTTCATATAATGCTTTTTCTGCTTCTTGTGTTGCTAATTTTTACGCATTGTTTAGCTGTGATACGTTGTCATTGGAGTTCATCTTGACTATGATTTAATTATATCAAATTTCGTTTCAGTTCCCAGATGTCGACGGGATTTTGAAAGTTTCCAGGAAATTTTTGCGAAACTACATTTATTTATTTCTAGAATGGAATATGTCATGAGTCAACGTCATCGATCACTGATCAAGGTGGTAATGGAGATATGACGATTGCGAAGACACCAGCAGCTAACGACGGTGATGTGTCGCCGTCATCGTTACGGCGGAGTACACGTGCATGTGCGTTGAAAGCTGCGGAACGCATCAAGCTAAAGGAAACGCTGACGCCGGTGATGGATGGTGTAGCATCACACAGCGTAAGTATCCTCGATTATTTGGAAGTAAATAAAAAGCGGTAAGAAAAAGATTATAGTTTAAAACTATCGAAGATATGTAACTTCACGTTTCTCTGTAGGTATTGTATGATTTGGCGAATAGTTAAAGGAGATATACTTAAAGCTGACTACACTTTGTTTCATCAGTCTTACTTCAACAACTCTTACGCAAAATTTGCGAAATCCAATAACGATAGTACGATAGTATCTTCCTAGAAGATATATATCTTCAGGAACTATTCCAAAATAGCCAGTTAATATTAACCAAATTCGTTTCCTTTCATAGTTTTCACAAACCTAATAGTCCCTTTCATTTCTATCAGGGATTTAGTTGCAATTTATGAGAATACTCCACTCAAAGATCCGAAAGCTTATTTTGTTAAAACCACTCGATTAAGTTAACAACATGTTCATGGGCAGTTTATATAAGCTTCTAAAATATTGCCAGTAACTTGGATGAACAATAGATCATAGTAAAACAACATGTCTTGTGTTGAACTGCGCGAAGAATGTGACTTCATAATGGTTCGTATGACCAAATAGTTCGTACTGCATTCTTCACTGGTTATGCCATCAGTGGCATACCATACTATTACAAACATTTTTAGTCTTCATTTGGGTTTTTTATTTACTGGGGGCTGAACCCTTTATTTTAATAACTTACTTTCAAGTAAGTTTAAGTAACAACTATGAGTTTGTCGTAATTACAGGGTGAGGGTTACATTTCTGGAGCCGAAAATGATGATGAGGAACCACGTGTGAAAAAGAAGCGTTATGCAGAAGGTCGAACATTGGACCAAACCGATTGTAAATTTGGAATTAAAGTTGAAAATGATGAAGTGCTATTGATGAGCGATGAATCCGAATTGTCGAGTTTAAATGACACAGAATTCGAACAAGTCAAAAAGGTTTTTGATCGAGTAGGTGTCTTTCCTACATGTTACAGATGCATTAATTCTCAAATGAACTGGAAGGAAAAAAGTTGTTTGAGAAGTTTATTGAATATGAAATTCCAACTTTTGCTTTATCAAAATAAGGGAGCAAAAAATTTGGTAAATTAGGAATTAAGGTAGAACATTTTTTCCTGCCCCATTTTGATATCATGTTGATATGGGTTAGAAATTGTTTCATTTTCACACAGTGACGAAAACATTCTTTTTTTTATTTTTCCCATCCAATGGCAAAGCAGTGTGTATAGGCTTTGTTGGATGAATGAGTAGATAAATAGGATGGGGTTTAATGATTTATGATTGCAGGCTCTGCATCGAGAACAGACAGATGAGCAAAAGAAGGAGCGCGAAATGATGGTTAAAGCTCTAGAAGCTGAGCTAAGAAGAGAGGAGGCAAAACTTTCTATGCTTAGAAAGCTACGAATAAGTCAACAGCATTCCGTGAAACAGGTTCTTTATAAACTTATCAGTGATAAGGCTATGATATCAGTGGTATTGTATTGATGATAAAGGCTGTGTAATAGTAATGCTATTGATCGTGGTTTTGATGACGTTATTAGTGAGAGATTAAGCCACTAATCAATCAGCCATACCCATCCGGTTGATCATACATTGCATAACTTTCGCTAAATGATTCTATTACATGCTATTCACAATAGGTACTGAATTGGAAGCTTTCAATAACTTATGTAATTTGATGATATCTCGGATCGTAAGTAGTCTTTTGAGTTCTTCATGAAATACACACAGACTTGCCACTTAAATTGTAAAAACTGTTGCGCATCTTATAACATGAATTTTCTTGATACTTGTATACAAGACGTTATCTTAATCAGACGTTCTCAAAGGAGAAAATTTAGTCAAAATATATTGTCAGTAAGCTGAAAGAAGCATATCCACTTGACTAACATGTAACATAACAATACAAGAGCAAGGAATATGTACAGGAGAGCAAAGTCTGAGTACAGGAAACTATCAGGCGATGATTTCGAATTACTAGGTCTGCCATTTATTATATTTGAATCTCATGGAAAACCGTTAGCTACTGGGTGTTGAAGTGTCGCTGAGAACTTGTATGTCATCCATTTTTTAGATACAAGAAGCAAATATTCGAAAACTGACGGCTAATGTTGCTCAGAATGGTAGTGGCCATGCTTATAAACCGCCAGTTGCTGCTGTACAAAATCGATCTACATCTAATAGTCACTCGAAAGGTTAGTACATTTTTCTTTTTTAATCAGATTACAATTTACATGTTGTTTACCTTGGTTTTTAGTTTTAAAAATCGCGTACACATAGACGTTTTAATCACGTTAATTGTGTGTCAAGACACATTTGATAACGGTATCATTCATATGTTTCGCCAGGGAATGGCTGAATCATTGTTATATACATACATCTAAATTGATTTTCGAAATAGGCTTAGGCTGGGAAGTTAGGATTAAAATTAATTTTACACGTAGTTCAGCAATTGCGAAATGCATCTACAAGTTAATAAATGCAGCTATAGTTCGAGCATTGGTGCAGTAGGCTTAACAGTTCCATGTAACATGTATAGTTTTTCAAAGAAAAGCGATAAATTTTTAAAGTTAAGTAAAGCGAAGTTAACGTAAACTTCATCATGACGTATGCATTTTTGTTGAAATTTACAGCATCAACTTCAAACACATCGTCGCGTGCAGTTGCATCTGCTGCATCAGCTGCAGCAGCGTTAATGAATCTGAATTTGACACCACAACAGCAGCAGCTATTACAGAATGCAGCTAAAAGTGGCTTGCTGAATACAGCTGCGGCTCAAGCGTTACTGCAACAAGCTCAACAGCAAGCTCAAACTAATAACGGTAAAACAATTTTTGTATAGATGATGCCTTATGTTTTGCTTGTCTTACGCATTCACAAAGTTAGTAGTGTCTGTTGCATCATGTACTTCAAATTATTGCATAATTAGGGTTACATTAATGAATGTCAGCTGATGAGTGACAAATACAGTGAACGTACTGTGTTGCGGACAAAACGTGCTAATCTTTCCAAGAAAGAGGTGCATATAGGGAATGATGGGGAGAAGCGAAAGAATTGAAAGGTTTAACTGTACAGTTTCGGAATATATTGCGTCAGCTGTGCAGCGGAACTGTATCCAATGTTAGATGAAGGTTTGATATCCTGAAATGTTGCGTATGTCAGACCAGTAGTTTTAGGTCGCTTAACTCAACATGCGGCAGCTTTAGCAACCGCTGCACTTCTCTCACAACATCAGCAACAACAACAACAACATCAACAACACCATCATTCACGAAACAGTGCTGCAGCTGCATTGGCCGCTAAGGAAACCGCTGCTCAAAGAGCTGCTGCAGCTAAACTTGCGCTACGGAGACAGTTGGAGCAACAGTTATTGCAAGTAAGTCTGTACAAAGTTCTTTTAAATGCTGAATGATTTTATATTGATTTCAGAAATTATCTAAGCTACTGCTGGTAAAAGCAGATGAGAGAAAGCAAGAAAAAGACATATATTCTACTCATTTCAGTTCTCTGCTAGGGAACTGCATTTCACTGTGATTTTCGCTACAAAGCATAGCAAGCATTTCGAGTAGAATATATGTCTTTTTCTCAACTTTCACGATTCTCTCCAAATATTTCCATCCTCAGTAATTTGAGATATTCCTTTACCTTTTTCGTTTTTAAATTGAATTATTCACATATTTTCTCAAACATAGCTTAAATCCGCTTAGTTTCAGATCCCTCCACCACGACCTCCACCTCCGGATATGCATTTTATCCCTAATGGTAATCAACCAGATTTTCTAATGTATTTGGGTTTAGATATCGCTGTTCAAAGGTTGTTAAAGGATAAATTAGCTACCAAGTAAGTTTAATTTTTGTGAAGAAAGAAATTTCGTGACAGTTAATCGTAAAATTAACAGTTATTTGGTGTGATACTGTTGACATTCCCAAACGTGATGTTGACATACATAATTTAAATTTATTGGATTCCTTATTATTGGGGGAAATGAACCGGTAAATGTGTACACGGGTAGCTGTGTGCGTCATCTACGACAAAAAAAGTGTTTGTATAAGCAGTGGTCATTGACTAAAGTTTAGGATCACTCCAATTCTCATCGATCCAACTATTTTTATTAAATAGTTTTTTTCTGAAGTATTGATTTCAGACGTGTCACAGAGGGGCCTTATTTATGCGAAGAATGTGGTACCGATTTTACACCGGTTTGGCGTGCCATCGGAGCAGATGAGAATTCACTAAATCTTTACTGTGACGCATGTGTGAAAGCAGCGCAAAAGAAGAAGTTGCGTCAGGAGCATACTGCATTGCTAAGGAAAGCTTTCAATAAAGTTATGGAAAAAGAACAAGTAAGGATGCAGTCTGTAATGTTTCCTCACTTTTGCATTAGTGTTTTTGACATAATATACTTGCTAGTGTCCGTGATAACGAATATATCGTTATCATTGGGAAATATGTATAACTTGGAAGTTGTGGAATAGGATGATTTCTGCGAGGTTGCAGACATGATAGTTAACCGCTCCTTTTGCTTTAGGAATTGGAAAATCAGATAGCAGAAGGCAAATTCGAAGCGCCTATGCCTTCGTCATCAACACCTCGCTCATCAACGCCAGCCACACCACCTCTTAACGCAGCTGCTTTGAAAACAGCACCCTCTTCCTCCGGTGCCTCAATTAATGCACCAAAAGCTTCTACTTCTTCCGTAAGTATTTTTACGCTTGAAGTAAATCTGGTCACATTATTGAAATCCATTTATTGTGGAAGTCATGGAAGAGGGAATTTTTAAGAGACTTTATTTTGTAGGCAAGCCATCAACAGCATCATAACAAACCAGGTTCATACAAAAGGCCTGCAACAGCGAGCAGTAACACTGCAGCGCAAGCTGCCTCGCAGAATGCTGCAGCTGCGGCTGCTGCTGCGGCACTTGCTGCAGCAGCAGGTGCAACCGGTACGAGTAATTTCTTACAGCAGCAGATGGCAGCAGCAGTAGCACTTCGACAAACAAATCCTATGCTTGCAGCTATGATGGCGAATCCCTTGCTCAATGCACCAAATATGTTGCAGGTACGAAAAAGTCACCCTTTTTTTTGCTTTTCGATCAGAAGTAGAAATGTCTGGAATCACGAAAGAACTAAAATATTGAAGAAACACTTAACGACTATTGATATACTCGTATTTGCTTACACAGTCCATCTGATGATGAAAGATTCATTTTTATGGTTGAATCGAGGAAGATGCCAGGGTCGAGTTAGAACATGACATGATTCTATATCCTAAAGTAAAATATCTAATATATGGCTGGTGTTATTAATGACTGGATGTCAAATGAAATAATCGAAATGAGATCGGAAGCCATTTTCAAAATGTTATTCGTTGTCATTTGACGTGGCATAGCATTACCAGGCAAAATCTTGTTGAGTGCAGCGGATATCTGCATTTGTTACTGAAAAGTTATGGCATTAGGATTTGAAAACAGTGTCAACTAACAGTGCTTCTGTAAATTTTTTTCGAACAGATACTTCGATCATATCTGTCAACAACCAATTACTTAACAGGATATATACAAAACAGAATGAAACATGCTGTCCAAATGTTCTGGCAGTTTGAGAAGTCTAGTAGTAATGAATTTATTTTAGTGATGACAACATTCTTTTTATTTTGGCGTTCATTTAATGTGAATGATACCAATGTTTCTTTTTTTTCAGCTACAATGGAATCCACTAATGCAGCAGCGTTTACCCAATTTGGCAATGGCAGCACTTGCTCAGGCGGTTCAAAATGCCCAACAAAGCAGTGCATCCGGAAATGTTGCATCGACTGCTGCCGCTGCAGCAGCTGCGACTAGTCCCTTGGCAGCATTAGCAGCTTCGATGAATCCGGCCGCTGCAGCTGCAATGTTTAGCAGTAGCCCGCAGATGGTACGACAGTTGCAACAAGCACAGCAAGCGATGCAAAGGAATTTCCTGTTAGAATACGCAAAAAGTCAGTCGAAGAAATGACGTCGTTAACAAAGAAGGTAAATATTCCGTTCTGTTTTCTGTCTGGTGATATGAAGTGATATATATGCATATGATATGGTATGTTGTGGCATGATATGGTAGCGGTGATTTAGTAGGTGCATATATTGTTTTGCACTTGGGAATCATTATGTGTATGTTAAATTATATTGATATTTTTAGGTTACTTCAAGGCTTAATTAAGTTAAAAAGAGTTACTGATTGCTGCTGTTTCAATACCTTAATCCCATCTATCATTCCTTTCCCTTATTTATCCTTTGATGGTAAAGTTAGCATATTGCATAAAAGTTTGATGTCATTATGGAGATGATCAGGGATTCGATTCTTATCAGCGTAACAAATCTTACGAAATTAGTTAATATGGGTATTCTGATAGGTACATTTTCAATTGTCGCAATCATCATGTTACCATCGGAGTGTTCTTCCCTCGGCTTTCTTATTGATTTGGATTTTCTTACGTTCGTACCCGATTTCACAGCAACGATTCAGCCAAATTTATTTTCTATGGGAATGCTCTAGAAATGGTGAAGTTTGCGGTTTTGACCGATTGCGGTTCAATTTTTCTCTCCTCTTTTATGGAAAATAAACATTGCATGTTGGTGGAATCTGTGTCTGTCAAATTCTTCGACATGAAACACCAAGATAATCTAAACACGACAGACTGGGTCAGATTTTGAGCTGGCAGGCAATTGTTGGGATCCCCTCAACTGGGACTTTCAAGCGTTATCCAAATTTTTGGACCTTAGGGAAAGGAAGCTTGGATCACTTATTCGTTGCTGCTGTACACGTTTCTTGGTCAATTATTATTGCTATAGGTATCGTGATATTTGTAAATATAAGTATGCAAGGTGTGATCCATGATGATGTATTTCTTCAGATTGAAATATTTGTGCAACAATTTTTAAAGTAGATCTCGAAAAGTTCATTTTTTTCCGGGAAGGAGTTATGTAGTGGACAGTTATGTAAGACAAAAGGTTATTTCCAAGAAAAATCTCTGAAGATTATTGTGTGGAAACACTTCACGGGATTTGATTGTTTGTGATTTATGGGTGAATATTATTTGAGATTTTGCAATGGTCATAATTGTCCTTGAACCTGTGGTATATCTGAATGATTATGTGACATTTGCTGCTGAATGAGTGGACAGTAATTTGGTGGCGGTGTTAGTTAGTGTCACTGATTTTAGTAGGCTTGATGAGCCGTGGTTTGTCTGCAACCGTTTTCGGGGAATTGTAGTAATTCTTGATTTATATAATTTCTAAGGATCATTTGGTTATGGGGTTGTTTTTGTTGCGTTCGCTCATCTTTGGTTGAAATATTTTTGTCATTTCTTTAGATATTTGAATAATTTAAATTGTTGGAATGGTATTTTTTTTTTTTTTTTTTTTTGAAAATTCGTTTCATTACCTGTATCGTCGTTTTGATCAGAGAGAAATGTGCTTTCAGGTTGGATTTTTGAGTTGTTTTATGATTTTTTTCTCTTGGAAGTTTGTTTTTTTTTTTTTTGCGTGTGTTTACTGGGAATCAGTTCAAAATTGATGATTGCTGACAGATATATAACTATGACAGTTGTTATTTTCTTACTATTCGATTTGTATTTGCTCTATAAAAACTCGAAATCTAAAAATAATTTTATTTTATATGAACTTTTTTTTCGAAGGTTACCAAAACATTTTTTGTTGTCTTCTCAAAGCTAGTTTTTGCAGTACCAAATTGTCCCTACGTCTCCTTTTCCTACAGTCGTGGAGAAAAGTTTTGGATTCAAAGGGCCTTGTCATGTGTGTTTGCCTTA